ATTGCCTAGATGAGGTTTGTTGTATTTATACCGTGCCACGAAGCTTGTTACTTGCAGAAGCAAACGTCGGCGACCCATTAAACTATCTATAAGTAGGTCTTTCGTCTTCTTTATTGGCGTAGACACCGCTAACATAGTAAAAGTATAGTTTTTTCAACCATTCGCCCGAGATATTTTCACGAAATTTGACATGGAACGGTCAACCTTCAACACATTGGTCAGATGGGATTAATATGGTGGACTAAAAATAGTAACACTTCTTAATTTAAATTTTGCGCGAAAACCAGCTCGTTAAATTTTTTTTCTAAGTTGGTATGAGTTTCAGTGGTATCATCGGTGATAATTGTTTTCAATGATGGTCATTAATGCGTTGACGCCGAACCACGTCCAGTACGGCCATCAACATCAACTGATGATCATAATGATTACTGGCGATCAGACTTGGATCTAAGCTTACGACCCAGAAACAGACGATCAATCTAAAGAATATCGTCGCAAAGGTGAGCCGAAGCCGAAAAAATACGTGTTAAAAAACGAGGTTATGTTGACAGTTGTCCTCGATTATCGASATGTGGTGCACTCCGAATTCCTTCCGACCGGTCAAACTGTCGATAGAAGAGTCCGTAGTATTTTGGACGCAGCTGTTTTAAATATATCAATATGTCAACTCTATTTGGAATTCAATAAGGGTATTGCAACAACAAAGTATAAGGAACGAGTGTTTTCATATAACAGTTCTTTTACCTTAAACTTTAAAGTGAACTGGAACCTGCACCGAAAAATTTTAACTTCGCTAGAATGGAACGCGGAAAGTGCTTGAGATCCGTTATTGTATCACTCTCATACTTTCTTGGCTCACAACTTCTCAACTATAATATGCCCTAATGCTTTTTAAATATATTTAATTAAATAAATGAATACAAAATTGTCGCAGACAAAGTACAGACGTGAACTCTTTCATGGAAAACAACCCATAACCTCCCAGAAATAAAAAGTGCCATAATTTCCAGTAAATTAACAGTATTAATCTAGGTAATACCGTATTATTCACGCCACGCAATAGACATTACGTAAAATGGGTGAACATTCGTCAATAACGTCAGACTGCCTTAACATTAATGTCAACGCCATATTGGCCGTAATTACTCACCTTCATAACCAACTCGAACGGGTGTTTGTAGACCCTAACGGGCGATTGGAATTTTTGCACCATTTTTGTTGAGAGTTTTCGTTAATGTATACACTCTTCTCCACTGTTGACCGAAATGTGCAGAGAATGTGATGCTTCTTAGAATCGTTAAGCTGGCGCTTAAGCTCTTGGTGGTGCTGGTGCTTCGTTGTTGGTTTACTGTGTACTTTTACACTTTTCTCTTTTAAAAGCACTTCTTAAGTAAGTAAGTTCACTTTGTATCTTTATTTATTTTTCAATATTCTTTAGTTATTTTTGTTTATTTTCTTATGTGTTTAGTGGACCCTTCGTTTTAGTACCTTCCTCGTGCACAAAATTACTTTGCTGCCAAAGACTAATTACAAAAGCGCATGTTGGTAATTCAATTTTTAGTTTTTTTATTTTTACTTTGCGGTGAGCCCTTCAACAAAACAAACGAGCAGAAAAATGCACAAAAGAGAAACGAAATTTCAGCTTGTCAGACGCCAACGGCCGACCAACTGACGGCTGACTGCTTTGTTGACTGTCTCTTTGTGGTGCGTGAGTGAGCGCTGCTGAAGGCTAACGACCGCCCCGACCCTTAGACCAACTGGCTAAGAAATCTTTASAAAATTCACAGCGCCCGCAATCGATTTCCGCTAATTGCTCTCTACTTGTTTGGTTGGTCTAGTTYGCTAGTTACTTCTTGTTATTATTTTGTATTTGTAATTGTTGTTAGCAACTTTTGATGTTTTGCCTGCGAACTCATTAAGGGACTGCTGGTGAACGAGGCTAACCCTTTGCCTTGGCACTTTAATGCGAGTTCGTAGACATTACACAATGAGCACAGCTATTCTGCCACTATTTGTTTGTTCATACATATAYACGTACGTACATGCATAGGTGTGTGTGTATCGCTTACGCTTAGGTGTATTTACTTTCAACTACTTTATATTTGTTTTCATGTATTTGGAATTTTTCACTTTTTTACTTTCGCTCTGAACACGAAAACACTTTGCCACCGTTAGTTTGTATTCCGTTTTGTATTCGTAAATATTTCGGATTTTACTTTCTGTTAGCGTTTCCGCAAAAGCTCAACTAAAAGTATCCAATTCTGTATTCTGCTTATGAAGTGCACTTCAAAGTAGCTACAAAACTATGCGTTCTTTCTGCAGTTGAATGCGTCCGCGCCGTTCGCCTGGTAGAAAGCAAATGTAGGCAGCCGTGAGTTGACTCGCTTGTTAACAGCTCTGCTCATTGGCATGYATGTGYGTTTGTGTATGCATGTTCATTGATTGGAAAACCTACATTTATGACTTCTCTCGCAAGCGCTCAGCAAACATATACATAYAAACATGTATGTATACATTTTTATATACAGTGGTGAGGTAATTGTTAGCACCACTATTAAAGTGGGATTAGAGTTGAACGAGGTTAAAGAGAAAAGTGAAATTGTGATATATTGTAAAATTGACGATCATATGGAAGAAGGTYCATTTTTTTGGTTGGTAGGACTGTCTATAACAATTGCAAATCATCTGTTTGTCAAAAGGTTTATTTCTTTCCAAGAGAAACGTGATTTKGCAAACAATAAATAGTGAATTTTTCGATTTTAACGATGGTTGCTTTATAATGCTGGATTTTGTTGGGCAAAAACTTRCTTCTTTTCGGTTTGCGCAAAAAATTGATTATACTCCGTATGATTTCCGGCTAAGCAAACTCAAACCGAATCGACGATGATTCTGAAAGGTTCAAACTTCAGAATTACTGCACCAATTATTTTCAAATACTTCTGTACTTAGTTTTCAGTTATCACCGTAGAGCTACTTTTACTTTTGTTCACGATTTGTATTTTATAATAACAATTTAGCGGTTTTATTCCGCAAAAAATATAATTTTTTCCTTCAAATTATTATAAAAAAGGKGATTAACTGAAATTTCGAAAGTTCTTTCGGTGTTATCTGGCGAAAACTATTATCAAAGAAATGTATCCTGATTTGTTTATTTCGTATKATCTGGCAACAAGCTATGGAGGCACCGTAATTCTAGTTAGTAGTCGAATGAAAAGAAAAAARTCGTATTTTATGTCCATAAACTAGGTATTGGACGAAAAAATTAACAAAAAAGTGAAAATTTCATWTTTTTACTATTAAAAAATTCTCTTGACTGCACTATTTTTCTCGTCACTGTATGCATCTTCCGATACATTTGTGTTTGTGTGTATCTGCATCTCAAACCGCCGATSTGTTACCACTTTTATGTGCTTGCACTTGGAATGAGCGAGATTTGATTCGCCTTCTCATTGGAAAAACTCTCACAACGCTCAAAAAAGTAGAAAAAAAAGCCTTCTTGCAATGTTCTGCCCAACAATTGGCTTTTTCCTCGAAGCGTTTCTGCTTCAAAATAATAATTTTRCTAAATATTTTTTGTAATTTACTATAATAAACACTTTGTAATAAATGTTTGTATAATTATTTTTTGCAAATTAACATTTTTACTTTGAAATTATATAAAGAGACCAGCACACGCACTCAACACTTCCGACGCTCGCCACTTTCTAATGAACACTTCGTTCCAAAATATTCGGATGTGTTTGTATGTACATAGCTATGTGAGCATTTATGTAAATACCCAAACTATTTAAACAACTTTACACCAATACGAGGCATATGTATGTATGTATGAGATAAATGTACATCAATCATTTGTTTGGAATAGTGGGATTTGGCAGCGGAACAGCTGTTACCAGCGCTGGTAGCTGTAGATACATAGATACATACATATGTATGTATTTGTTACAAATATACATAGATACTGTGTGTATGCATTWATCACTTCCCAGTATTTGCAATAAAAGTGTTGTATACAGCTAATAAAATATTGTWATTAATTAAAGTTAAAATTTTGTTTAATGAATTTAAAAAGAATTTAATTTTTGTACGTATATACTATTTGTATATACATAGCTAAATATTGTATTATTGAAAAAAAATTTTATTTTGATTTTGATCAATTAGTTTGTAGRACAGCTGTATGTTATAGTGGTCCGATCTGWACAATTTTTTTGGARATTGTAGCGTTGCCTTGAAAAAGTGACAATTTTCGTCAAAATATATTGTCAAATAAATAAATTTTTCATAMAAAGACTTTATTTTGGCCTATCAGTTTATATGGGAGCTATATGCTATAGTTGTCCGATCTGAKTAATTTTATATCAGATTGTGGCATCGCCTTGGTTAGTAATCCAAACCAAATTTCATGAACTTATCTCGTCTAGAAAAAAGTTTTCCATACAAGAGCTTGATTATGATCGGACGATTTGTATGACAGCTATATGCTATAGTGGTCCGATCAGCATAATTGCATCACAGATTGTAGCGATGCTTGAGGTAACAAGCTATGCCAAATTACAAGAAGATATCTGGTGAAATAAARAMGTTTTACATATAAGCACTTGATTCCGATCGTTCAGTTTCTATGGCAGCTGTATGCCATAGTGGTCCGATATCAACGATTTCGACAAATGAGTAGCTTCTTRAAGRGAAAAGGATGTGTACAAAATTTTAGATCAATATCTTGAAAATGGAGGAATATAGTAGGTACAGACGGTGAAAGCCTTGAGTAAAATAAAAAAAAATTCTATAAATAAATATAGATAATATATTGTAGTTTTTTTCTATAAATACGTATGTAAGAACAAACGAAGACAAACTAATAAAAAAATATCAATTTTAAATTAAAATCATCATTTAATATATTTTAACGGAATAAATTACACGAATTATAAAAAATACAATTCACATAGCACTTATGCAAAAAAGAATATATTGTTTTTTTCAGTGTAGTTATAATGGTGTAAAAAATATACGAAACATAAGTGTAAGCAAGAAAAGTTAACAATTTTCTTTAACAAATATTTTACCTGAGTCATAAAAAAGTTGTAATAAATACTATTTACCGCATATACATATGTATATTATATACATATGTATATTATATACCCCATATGAGGGATAAAACCTATAAATATGTGGGTGATCTTAAAGCCTTTAGCCATTTAGTTTTATACTGTTCGACAACGCGTCAACTATTGCTCATTTCTGGGTACGCCCATAGACTGCAATGCTGTCGGGTGAAATAATAATTAAAATT